TTTCAATTTTGCAAAGGTAATACGAAGTATGTTGATTGTTGGGTAATTATAGTAAAAAGAAAGAAAAGAAAAGTTTTGGAACTTTAGTATCAAAGAAGTTAAATTGGAATACTAATTTAAGTTAAAGAAGTTAAAATTATTTCTAATGGAAAAATCTAAATCAAATTGGAATACTAATTTAAGGAAAAAATATATTTTAATATGTGCTATTTTGAGAACTTTGAACTTGATGTGTTAGTTTTAGAACAAACAACTATTTCCTAAAACTACTTTAGATTATTTAAAAAAAATATTTTACTATGATGATAAAGAAAATAGTTTTGACGAACTATAAATGTTGCAGACTTGCAGTAACTCAAACCTAATTAATAGTAAACAGAGCAATACGATTTACCCCTTGGTCCATGGAATACCAGTAGTATTATTTGATATACTGATTGCAATGAGACTCCATCCTACCAAATATAGCGTTTTTCCTTCTTCAATGGGACTTCAAATGCAACTCCAAATTTTAATTTTTTAGAGTTTTGTGAATAGTGCAACTCCAAATTTGGTGTTGCATTATTCACAAAACTCTAAAAATTATAATAATATTTTATTATTACTTTTAGTATAATATCAATATTATATTATTCATTAATTAATTAAATTTTGTAACTAGAATTAATATACCAAATTGTATTTTTATCTTATCATTTATAGTAATATAATTTTTAAGTATAACTAATATGAGATTTGGTTGTAATTAATATAAATACATAAAATATTTAAATTAATACACACTATCTTGAAATTAATACACACTATTTTTAAATTAATATTTTTAAACTAAATCTCAAAATATCTTAAATTAATATACACTATTTTAAAACTAATATTTTTATTTTATTGATTGTAATTTTTTTCGTCATCGAATATAATGTTATAAATAATTAGTTGTTAATCTATTATATGAATAATTAGTATTTATCAAAACATTAAAAGATAAAGAGAATTTTAAATTAAATATAATAATAAAAAGATTTTTTTTGGTATGAGATTTGGTGTTGTGGTTGGAGATGAAAAAAAACACTATTCACTCAAACACCAAATTTGTCACTATTCACAACACAAAAATTTGGTGTTTAGATGAATAGTGATTGGAGATGGTGTTAGATATTTTATTTGGGTTAAATTTTTACTAGTTGATTTGCTAGGAGTAGATTATATAAGATGGTGCTATCAATTCAATAATATCAGCCGAGATTTTGCAATCAAATCTCGGACGTAATGATCTATATATGTAATGACTAAGGAAGCCAAATTATTATTGATTTATGTGGCCAAGCTGTCTTTTGCTTAAAGTTGTTGTTCCCCACATATATATATATATATATATATATATACTAATGGCTCATCATAAATATCTAGATAAATATATAGATATATATATATATATAGTGGTCCGTAAGCCAATTCTATATAAAATTTGTTTTGTGTATTGAAATTAATTTCACCACAGTCTAATTTTAGCTTGTGTGTATTTTGTTTTTCCCACTTTTATCCGTGATAGAATCAGTTAACAGTTAAATTACATTAGTAGTATAAATCCTGGAAAAAATAACTGGTGTATATGAAATTTTTTTTTGTACTTAAGGAGTTAGGGTTAAAAAAATTGGACGGAAAGAAACAATGGGATTGATAATTTATAAAAAGAATGCATTCGGTAAAATGTTTAATGTGAAAAACTTTACTGAATCTACAAAATTTATGGGATACTAATATTTTACTAATTCTTTGAAATGACGAATTGATCGAATCTTAATAAGATTTTATGGAGAGGTCCAATTGTCCAATGATGTAGAGTGGAGACCATGTTAATAAGGCAAAAAGCTAGGAGAAAATGTGCTTGGGCAATGTCTTCTCATGTGGCCTTGGAATCATCAAAATTAGATGTATGGTCATTAAAAATATGATCCACTTGTTGATTATAATTTCCATTAATTAAGGAATCACTGTCCTAAGATCTTTTACTTTATAAACATTGTTTGATTTGAAATATACGTACTATGTATTTATGTCCATAGCCATTACATCGTGTCTATTAATGAACAAAACATATTAAAATGACACGGATCAAATTCATAGATGGAATCAAGGTGACGTCACCATAATTATGTCTAAATACACTATGAGTATAATTTATGCAGTAAACACGTCAAAATATATATTTCTTTTCGAAAGTAACACAAAAAATATATCTCTTTTTTTTTTTTAATATATCAACCGTGTTAAACTGATCAGAATTTTTGGAATTTTTAACTTAAAAAATATAGTTTGTATTGTTGGTGAATTTATGGTTATCAATATGATTAACATGTGGACATAACACCGTCGGAATTGCACCAAAGCAAGCTTATTCTTGGAAGAACAAATACATGCGACAAAAAAAAAGAAGAACAAATACATGCGACAAAATATGACTTGACCAACATAACATTATTTCGAAGAGTAGAGTCTCAAAATTTTTTAAACGTTTTGACACACAAATCATTGTTCGGCTACCATGAACCAATAAGGCATTTCATGCAAAATTACAAGAGGACATCCACATCACATACAAGCAAAGTACGCTTTTCAAGTCAAAAGGCGAACATATTGTTGTAAGAGAGTCCGATCACTTTGCTAGCACCGAAAATACAGTCATATCGGACTCCGAAGTTGAACCTTTCAGTTTAATTATTTAAGAAAACTAATCCATAAATGGGTCTTCATAAGTTTTTGTAGTCGAAATTTTAAGATTGATATAGTCCAGCTCAGTCAAGTTGTGTAGACCAAGCATTTTCAATGCTTTGTGGAGTTGATTTTTGGTTATGGATCCATCTGCATCAGAGTCTGCCTTCTTAAGGAGATTTGAAAGCTCTGACAAATTCCACGCGCGTGATAGAACCATCATGGTCGCTATCGATTTTCTCCAAGAGCTATGAGATCTCCTCATCCTTACACGTTAGATTAGCCAAGTCCAGCTGCTGGTCTCCTTGGGTGTCAACTTCATCGAACACGTTCTTGAGGCTCACTACCATCCTCTCAACAACGTCCAAGTGCCTAATACTTTAGATCGGGTAAAAAAAAACTCAAAGAAAGAGGAGAAAAAAAGATGAGAAGTAAAAGAGAGTTAGGGTTTCAGATGATACGGCGAAGGTGAAAGAGGTTTATGGTTTCATAGCGATGCGAATGTGGAATATAGGTAGCATACAAATTAGGGCTTTAGATGTGGGCCACAAATATTGATATTCAATTGGTGGATTTGAGCCCAACATCATTTTCTTAATCTTTCATTTTTGTCTTTTTTGTAAATTTTCTTAAACTAATAAAAGTTAAAACTATATGTCTTTAAAGATGTCCACGTAAAATTTTAAAAGAGAATTTTATTGGTTCACATCAACATTCAATATTAAATAATTTTACATATTCTAATATTATTGCTGAATAAAGAAATTAAAAAAATTTACAAATTTTAATATTATTGCTGAATAAAAAATAAGTATAAATTGTTTATTGATCCACCTAAAAATTAAAAATTAAAGAACTTCCAAATTCTATTATTATTTTTAAAAATTATTAAAGATAAACATTCAATATTAAGAAAAATTTATTGATCCACATCAACATTCAATATTACTTTTTTTTTACAAATTCTAATATTATTGCTGAATAAAGAAATTAAAAAAGTTTACAAATTTTAATATTATTGCTGAATAAAAAAATTAAGTATAAATTTTTTATTGATCCACCTAAAAATTGAAAATTAAAGAATTTCCAAATTCTATTCTTATTTTTAAAAATTATTAAAGATATATATATATATATTTATATATTTATATTAATTATAAAAAACTAAAATAAATACTATTAAAATAGGGAATTTTAAATTTAAAAAATTGAAACTATATGCCTCTAGGGATGTCTATATAAAATTTTAAAAGACAATTTTATTGGTCCACATCAACATTCAATATTAAGAAAAATTTACAAATTTTAATACTATTCCTGAATAAAAAAATTAAGAAAGTTTACAAATTTTATTATTATTGCTGAATAAAGAAATTATGTATACTTTTTTAATTGATCCACCTCAACATTGAAAATTAAAGAATTTCCAAATTCTATTATTGTTTTTAAAATTATTAAAGATAAGAAATTATATATAAATTTTATATTAATTATAAAAAACTAAAATAAAAAAATTAAAATATGAAATTTTAAATTTAAATTAGATGTATACACACATATTTAGAGACTCCTACATTAGCATCCAATTTTTTGTCACATAACTATAATAATTTTGAAATTCTTTTTCTGTGTGTGCAACCATTTCAAAAAAAAAAAAAGAGTTAAGTTTCACTAAAAATGAGTTCTTAAACAAGTTCAAAGCACGTTTAGTTGCTAAAGGGTTTCATCAGCAATAAAGAATAGACTTTCTTGAAACCTACAACCCTGTTGTTAGGACTGTAACCTTGAGATCTATTATGCATATAGCTACCATCATGGATTAGGACATAAAGCAAATGGATGTTAAAAACACCTTCTTACACAGATAGCTCACTGAGACAGTCTACATGACTCAGCTAACTGGGTTCATCGATAAGACAAGCCATACCATGTGTGTCAACTCAACAAAGCCTTTTATGGACTTAAACAGTCACCTAGGGCATGATTCGACAAATTCAGCACCTTCTTGCTTGAATTTGGCTTCACCTGCAGCAACAAAGATCCCTCTCTTTTCATCTACTCCAAGAACCGATACATCATCCTTTTATTACTCTATATTAACGATATGGTGATCACAGGAAGTGGAACAACTGTTCTGAGCAATCTGCTATCTGAACTCAACAAATACTTTAGGATGAAGGATATGGGTCAGCTGCAATATTTTTCTTGGAATTCAAGCCTAATTCCATTCAGAGGGGCTGTTCTTCTCTCAGTAGAAATATGCAGAGGACTTATTAGCTGTGGCAGCCATGAGTGATTGCTCACCTATGCCCACTCCTCTTCCCTTACAGCTCGACAAAGTTCCTCACCAAGATGAACCTTTCTCCAATCCTACGTATTTCAGAAGCCTAGCTGGAAAACTGCAGTATCTCACCTTGACCAGGCCAGATATACAGTTTGCGGTAAATTTTGTCTGCCAAAAGATGCATTCACCAACCGTCTCTGATTTCATTCTTCTGAAGAGAATCTTACGCTACATCAAGGGCACAATAACGATGGGAATCAACTTTAGCAAGAAGACCGACTGTACCATCAGAGTGTATAGTGATAGTGACTGGGCCGGGTGTAAAGAAACACACAGGTCTACAGGTGGATTTTACACTTTCTTAGGCTCCAACATCATCTCTTTGTCCTCTAAGAAGCAACCGACTATTTCCAAAAACTTAACGGAAGCTGAGTACAGAACGATGTTGAAAGCTGTCTCAGAGATCACGTGGCTGAGCTCCCTTCTCAAAGAAATTTGAGTTTTTATTCCTACCACACCAGAACTCTTCTGCGAGCCTCACTGCAAATCCCACTTTTCACAGCAGAATTAAACATTTCGAAATCGACCACCACTATGTCCGAGAAAGAGTGGCACTAGGGTCTCTGGTTGTCAATCACATACCAGCTCATCAACAGCTAGCCGATATCTTCACCAAGTCCTTGCCATGTAAAGCTTTCTGCTCGCTAAGATTCAAACTCGGTGTAGACTTTCTGCCAACACCTCGTTTGAGAGGGGCTATCAACACAAAGCCTCTATCTCAAACAAAAGCTACTCAAAACAATGTCGAGTTAAGTTCAGTGAAGGATATGGGCCAGTGTAATCTGCAATGGCTCATTACCGAGCCCAAATCTTCCCAACGGTCATCTCTGTATCACGACAAAAACAGAGCTTCTGCAGAGAGGAGCAAGACGACGAGCTGTACGGAAGAGACAATCCCGGTGCGCAACATTTTTGGCGTCTTGTCAATCATTGACTGACCCCTGGCTGATTGGCACTTGTGAGAAGATCTCACACTAGAGTTTAGGAGTGTTCCCTTCCTCTTTGTGTATAAAAACACTATCACTATGTAATCATTTTCCAAGTTTTGAATCAATAAACAAAAACTTCATATTTTAGCATATTTCAGTTTTGCCTTTATGTTTGTTTTTGATATGGTTGACAGGATAATCAAGATTTCTAGTCATCAGTGAACAAAGCAGCAGAAAAAATGAAAGAGAAGCTATATTTGGCATGTATCGGAGTGACAGAGTTAATGCAGAAATTACATACTCCAGATGCTGATGCCATCCCTCTTGCCACCCGTAAAGAATGGTTATGGCCAGTGTATAGAAAAGTATGTCTTAAATCTCTCTTCTAAGTTCTTGAGCTTTTGATTAACCCATTATCATTCTGCTTAACTTGGTTCTGGTTGGTTGTTTCTAACAGGTCAAAGAAGCTGATCCATTAGACATTATCGGTGGCCCACATTATTGCCCCATACTCCAGACTACCCGAGTGGATGCGGTTAACTTATTGCGGGAACTACATGCGATGGAAAAAATCGATGAGTTTGGAAATTTGATTAGTCCATCAACAAGTCAGTTAAATTAGGTTCATAATTATCAAGAATTAGATTATACCTCTTTTTTCTTTCTTTATTTTAAACCTTGTAAGGCCGAGGAACAAAAAACAACAGAAAATGCTACAAGTTTAAACTCTCAGACAAAAGAAATGTCACGAAGCCAGTGTCTGAAACAGTGAAACTTATAAAGAGTTCACAAGATTGTATTGTTGTGAGCTATTATGAGTAGAGAAGGTATTGTTGTGAGCTATTATGAGTAGAGAAGAGATTGCGGAGAAGCAAATATGGATATCTATTAGATATTTGAGCCCATTAGAGGCCCACTTGTACATTCGCAGATATTTTTTAAATTTTCCCATTCACTTGTTCAGTCTAAACGATCAGAGCAAAATCACTTTCGAAATAAACAGAGATTGTGAAAATGGGGCTTTCTCTTCAACTTCCGATCGTCGATATGTCTTCGTCGGACAAAATCTCCACCGCACAATCGATTCGTCGGGTTCCTCTTCTTCTCTCTCCTTGTTATTTGTATCCGTACTACTACAACAGTAGAAACTGTGCTTCTTCTTCATTTTTACTAGTTTTTTCGCGGATAGGTAAGTGAAGATGATGATAGGACTTAGTACCTGTAGCATCAATTGAAGAAAATTTGGGTTTATCTTTTTGTTTAATCGCTCTACTTGTTGCGTTTAACGATTCGAGTATTACAATTTTGGTTTGAAGGAGGGCTTTTCATGGTTTCATTTTAATGAGCTATTAAATTTGATTAGATCAGTTCGATGTTTTCTTGAGAGTTGAGACAATTCTCCAATTCTCTCTAATTTGGTGTTTATAACTATGTCTGTAAAAATAAGGCGTGTCTCGAACATGGATTCTTCTATGCCAATAACCATGGCATCCCGGAAGAATTGATGGAAAAGGTTTTCAAGGAGAGTAAAAGCTTCTTTAACCTCCCACTAGATGAGAAGATGGCTTTACTCCGCCGTGATTTGCTCGGTTACACTCCATTGTATGCTGAGAAACTCGACCCGTCCATGAGCTCCATAGGTTCCTTCATTTGCTGATGCTATAGCTTTTTTGCATATGGCTTGTTTTCTTGCTGATGAGTTAATCTGTGAAAACGTTGATCTCTCTTTGTAAGGTGATTCCAAGGAAAGCTTCTATTTTGGCTCTTTGGAAGGCGTTCTTGCTCAACGTTACCCGAATCAGTGGCCTTCCGAAGGTAATTTTCATTTATTTGTTTTGATCTCAACCTATTTATTTTGTATTTTATGTATCACGGGTTATGTGTATGTAAAGATCTCTTGCCATCGTGGAGGCAAACCATGGAATGTTACTACAAGAATGTCCTGTAAGCACACACCTTGCTCAAACAAAACACTGTGACTTCATACCCTGTCTTCTCCTTGCATCATCAGTTAAAAATTGGTTTCAGTTCCATATCAACACTTAGGATTTGAACCTTGGTATGGATAAATATTAGTCTATTGTAGCCAATTTGATCGGTAGTACAACTGTTCAATCTTAGGTGCCTGTGTGTTCTTGAAATTATCTTCTTTTCAACTTCTTAATGTAAAGGAGAATATACAATTTCATGAGCATTTTTCTTTTTTTTTTTTTCTTTCCATATTACTTTGGTGGATCAACTTGATTTTGCTTTGTTTCTTAAAGGTCTGTGGGTAGAAAATTGCTCGCCTTAATTGCCTTGGCATTGGATTTAGATGAGGACTTCTTCGAACAAGTTGGAGCTTTGAATGATCCTACAGCAGTTGTTCGCCTCTTACGCTATCCAGGTATCTAGGTACATCAAAGTCTTGGTTGGATTGATATTAATCTTAATGAGCTTTGGTAAGAATTTATAGTTCATGAGTGGAAACTTAAGCCATATATGGTTATAGGTGAAGTGATTTCGTCGGATGTAGAAACATATGGTGCCTCGGCTCACTCAGATTATGGAATGGTCACTCTTCTTCTTACTGATGGAGTTCCAGGACTTCAGGTAAAACAGTTCTTAATTTCTCTTGTAACTCTCCTCATTGACTTCTCCTTTAGTAACCTGCATGTGCTCTTACACTGTCTGTGAACTCTTAGGTTTGTAGAGACAAATCGAAACAACCACGTGTTTGGGAAGATGTCCCTGGAATTAGAGGGTAAGTCTAGCTTATAGCTACTGCATTTTTCGAGGTTCGTTGATTATAACTACGGGGACTTTGTGTAAACCGTAGGGCGTTTATTGTCAACATTGGTGATATGATGGAGAGATGGACGAATGGACTCTTCCGGTAAACTTTGGCCAGTTTTTGTTTTGAGGGAGTTTGGTTTCTTGGTTTTTAGCTTGGATCGTAAGACATGTATTTTCATGTAATGGGGTTAGGTCTACATTGCACAGAGTGATGCCCGTGGGAAAAGAACGTTACTCGGTAAATTTTGTTTTTTGTTCTTTCTAATTTCTGTACAAATTAAAAATGTTATCTCTTAATACAATAAACTTAAGTAGAAGTTTTTGTAGGTGGTGTTCTTTTTAGATCCGAATCCAGATTGTAATGTGGAATGCTTGGAGAGTTGTTGCAGTGAAACTTGTCCCCCAAGGTATTTTGAGAAACTCTTCTTGAATCTTTCAGCCCAATGTAGGGTGAGGGGGCACATTGCGCATTTGTTAAATATTTTGAGGGTTAAAAAGAGCAAAAGTTGATTCCTTTTTTCATATAATTCTATTTCAATCGGTGTAGATTCCCGCCTATCCTCGCCGGCGACTATATTAAGGAGCGTTTCAGGCTAACCTACGCCTCCTCCTAGATTTTAATGTATGTCATTTATGTTTTTATATTAGGAAATGTAACAAAACATAGTGTAAATTTAACTCCGTATGGATGAAATAAAGTTTATATTAACGATCAGTATTTCTTTCTACAAATATAAAACTGAAATACAGTCAAAAATTATTTGCTAGGAATACTTATTCATATTTGACTACAATTTTATACTAAATATTGTCACAAGTATAATATTGTGCATCGGATCCGTGGCGCATTTAACCCCACATCAAATAGTTGCGTGTTTGATTCACCGGCGACAATATTAAGGAACGGTTCCAGGCTAACCTACGTCACCTCCTAGTGTATGTATGCCATTATGTTTTTTTAATACGAAATGGCTACATAACCACACAAATTTATTTGAACTTTTTTAAAAAAAAAATTATTTGAACTTATTTTTGCTCATTTGGAAAAAGGCTTTCCAAAATTATCCCATAAATACTTTTCGTGATAATTTTTCGGGTCTGAAACTTCTCATAAGTTAAATTGTGGTGAAAAAAAAAAACAATGCATGCGATAAATCTCAACGCCGAATCTGTGATCGGAGATATATCTATTATGGAAATGAAATTGTGGATCTAATATATCAAATGTATTTTTTAAAAACGTGTTTGGACCATTTTATTACTAATATTGGCGAATTTTCTTTGGTACTTTATAGCGACAGTTTATTTATTTTTAAAACAAAAATGTCGTCTTATTATAAAACTATAAATGGGTATAGAACGATCATAATTACTTACCCAACTTTCTAGTGACCTAACTATATCATTCAACAAAAATAGTATTAAGTATAACTAACTTTGATGGGTAACAAATCTTAAACAACTTTTAAAGGTGACTAGCAAATTCGTCTGACGGTAGAAAAATACGCAAACATTTTAATATATATAATTATTTATGTGTTTTGAAGTTTTTATTATATTTTCGAACTGCGCATAAGGCAACTGAACATGCATGCAAACCCCATATCTTTTACGCATAAGAAAACAAAAAACGTTATCTTATCTTCAGTTTAATTGTTTTATTGTTTCACTTTTTGATAATTTTTTTTATTAATTGTTTTATCTTCTTTTATCATCTACACGTCTGATTTTTTGATTAAAAATTTCTTCAGATGCATGCATACATTTTTTTTTATTGCATACATTGATTGCTTTCATACGGCCGAATTATATTTTACGGTCTTGTTTTATTGTGTTGTAAGTATAGAAAACAAATTTTCCATATACAATTATATATCCCATACGTGCGAGGTTTATTTTTTCCTTACCAACAGCGAAAGAGATTTGTTCTCCAATTATTCGTTGAATACTCTAATAATAATTTACTCTAATAATAATTTACTCTTCTTTGGAAAATAATCCAATAATACTTATTTTTCACGTGTGTTGCCATATGTGTATAGTAAGATCGAGACTGGATCTGAGATAAACCCCCCACACAAAAAAAAATGAATTGAAACAAACAAAAAAACTCTATTTTTCATCAATTTGACAATTTGTGTTTCTTTTCTTACATCCCCGAAATTAAAGTTTTTATCTTCTTGTTTTTTTTGTTCTCCCAACTACTCTGCAATTATATCGGTAAGAGAAGCATTTGGCTCTCTTTTTGGCACGCTCTGTATTTTCTGGGTTTCCTTTTTGTTTTTCTTCGCTCTGAGATTTTCTCGGGAAAGTTTTTAGTGTTAAGCTATTCGATTCTGGTTTCCAAATAATGGAAGGAGTTGATCACCTTGCCGATGAGAGGAACAAAGCCGAGTTTGATGTCGACGAGATGAAGATCGTCTGGGCCGGTTCCCGCCACGCTTTTGAGGTTTCCGATCGAATTTCTCGCCTCGTCGCCAGCGATCCGGTGAATTTTCTCAATTTTTTCTCGTTGTCGTTGTTCTTTATCTGGTTCTCCCGATTGTTTGATTTTTGTTTGGTTTTCGGGAAATGTTTATGCGGGAGATTGGGATTAGGGATTTCTCCTGTGTTCGAATTTATTAATTTCTCGAATTCGTGTTATCATCCACAGGTCTTCGAGAAAAGCGATAGAGCTCGGTTGAGTAGGAAGGAGCTGTTTAAGAGCACGTTGAAAAAATGTGCTCACGCGTGGAAGAGGATTATCGAGCTTCGTCTCACTGGTATGGATTCGTTCTAACACACCTATTTGTTATCGTGGTTTCAGGGTTTGTATTGCGTCTTTTGATTGTGTGCTCTTTCATTGTTTTTTTGGTTACAGAGGAAGAAGCAGGAAGATTGAGGTTCTTTGTCGATCAGCCTGCATTTGTGGATCTGCACTGGGTAACTTCCTGCCTCATGAATCGATAGATACAGTTTCTATTGACTCTTTTAGAGACAGAACTTTTGATTCATTGTTTCATGCTTTTGTTTCTCTTCTCTAGGGAATGTTTGTGCCTGCTATTAAGGGGCAGGGCACAGAGGAGCAGCAGCAGAAGTGGTTGTCGCTGGCCAATAAGATGCAGATTATTGGGTGTTATGCACAAACTGAGCTTGGTCATGGCTCTAATGTTCAAGGCCTTGAGACTACGGCCACATTTGATCCCAAGACGGATGAGTTTGTAATTCACAGTCCAACTCAGACTTCATCCAAAGTGAGTAGACCAAGAAGTTCTTTGATTAAGTATGTATGCACAGTCTCTTAGTTGTTTAAGATTTTCATTTGTCTTTGATTGTTGAATAGTGGTGGCCTGGTGGCTTGGGAAAAGTTTCTACACATGCTGTTGTTTACGCTCGTCTCATAACTGACGGCAAAGACTATGGTGTCCATGGTATGTACAGGGGAAAATTTTCTCAGGAATTTTTTTCCATTTTATCTTTCTCGGGTATTGATTGCTTAAACTTCCTCTACCAGGATTTATTGTGCAACTGCGCAGCTTAGAAGATCATTCTCCTCTTCCGAATATAATTGTTGGTGATATTGGGACAAAGATGGGAAATGGAGCATACAACTCAATGGACAACGGTTTTCTTATGTTTGATCAAGTTCGCATTCCGAGAGATCAAATGCTCATGAGGTCCTCTCTCTTAGCCTTTTTGGTCTGACTTTAATAAGCATTCACGATGTACTGATAGTTCTAGAGGAAATTGCTTAGTGCTTAAATGCGGGCTTATGGATTGTTCTCCTCTTCCAAAACGTTTCAGGCTTGCAAAAGTTACGAGGGAAGGAAAATATGTTCCATCGGATGTTCCAAAGCAGCTGATGTATGGTACTATGGTGTTTGTACGACAAACAATTGTGGCAGATGCATCCAATGCACTGTCTAGAGCAGTTTGCATAGCTACAAGGTACAGCGCAGTGCGGAGGCAGTTTGGCGCACGGAATGGTGGCATTGAGACGCAGGTACTCATTTAAAACCATTTCATAATCAAGGATACTCATGGTTGTGTACTGTGTAGAGTTTTTTTCACTCATTAAAGTTTGGTGACTATTATGTTGGCTCGAAAAGGGAATTTAATATTTCCTGCATGTTGTTATCACAGGTGATTGATTACAAAACTCAGCAGAACAGGCTATTTCCTCTGCTGGCATCAGCATATGCATTTCGATTTGTTGGGGAGTGGCTAAAATGGCTGTACACGGATGTAACTGAAAGGCTGCAGGCCAGTGATTTCGCAACATTGCCTGAGGCTCATGCATGCACAGCAGGATTGAAGTCTCTCACCACCACAGCCACTGCGGTAGGTTCCAGAGCTGCTTACTAGTCACTAGACTAGACTGATCGGTTTTGTTTCTCTATGTATGGGTCAAACCGTTCACATATTGGAAAGTTTGTTCCCTCCTTGACGTTGTTTGGAGGTGTATTTAGACTTGAAAAGTCAGCTTAAGCTTACTGTTGGGTGCAGGATGGCATTGAAGAATGTCGTAAGTTATGTGGTGGACATGGCTACTTGTGGTGCAGTGGGCTCCCCGAGCTGTTTGCTGTATATGTTCCTGCCTGCACATATGAAGGAGACAACGTTGTGCTACAATTACAGGTATTTGTTACCTTTATGTATGAAGTAATCTCACTAACTGGAATACCACTGTCAGCTAGCACGTGGCTCTTTAACATATAGCTCTCTGGACTTTTGGTTGAGTTCTTGATTTAGCATGATTTCGTATCGTGAGATTTGTACTTTCTTAGATCTAAGTACTTACAGGTTGTTGTCAGTTTCACGGTTTTTGGTCAAATTGTTTTTTATTTTTTTTGGGTTAATAGGACATTTGCGGTTATTCACATCATTTTTTCAAAAAATATGTTTATAGGTTGCTAGATTTCTCATGAAGACAGTCTCCCAGCTGGGATCTGGGAAGGCTCCTGTTGGCACAACTGCTTATATGGCCCGTGCAGAACATCTTTTGCAATGTCGTTCTGGTGTTCAAAAGGGTGAGTTTTCAAGCTTATTTGTTTTTTTTTTTCATTCTTCTCATTACTATAAATTGTTCTAGTGATCTATTCACAATATGATTCTTGAGTTAATGATGAAGTTGGTTTTATTCATTGGGCATATAGCTGAGGATTGGTTAAACCCTGGTGCGGTCCTGGAAGCTTTTGAAGCAAGGGCTCTGAGAATGGCTGTTACTTGTGCAAAAAATCTTAGCAAGTTTGAGAATCAAGAACAAGGTACTCTTCTAACTCCATGATTCCAGAATCAAGACCAAACTTTGCCAAGTCTTAAAAAAAATTCCCCTTGACATTTGCAGGATTCTCAGAGCTCTTGGCTGAATTGGTTGAGGCCGCAATTGCTCATTGCCAGTTGATTGTTGTTTCCAAGTAAGCTTTGTCTTCACCGTTCACATGGATCAAATAAGTTAGTGATTCTCTCTAGTCAGCTCCTAAATTTCACCTACCTTGTCTCGGTTAGGTTCATTGCGAAACTTGAGCAAGACATAGGAGGCAAAGGAGTGAAGAAACAGCTGAACAATCTATGTTACATTTACGCTCTCTATATCCTTCACAAACACCTCGGCGATTTCCTCTCCACAAACTCCATCACTCCCAAACAAGCCTCTCTCGCCAACGACCAGCTCCGTTCCTTATACTCTCAGGTTCTTCCTCACTCTCTCTGCATTTGGTTTCTTTTAAAAAGCA